CCAAAAATTGTGCATTTTCAAGCTCCTTGTTTATTAACAGGGAGGGTACTTTCAATGTGCATCCATTGATTGCTTCTTAGCATATTGCCAATAGAGCCCAACCAATATATTGGTTGGATGATAATATTGCTGCTACTAAGGACTAGGGCTAAAAGATTAATCGTTTTTATATCAAAATCGCTATTTGAAAGAGAGAAGTTTTCAAATCGCAAGAGCTGCAGTTTTAATTATAGCATGTATTATTAACAACGTGGTCTTAAGCTTTGCCTATAAATGAGTTAAGTCAAACAAAAGCAACCAAACACCCATGTAGAGGTGAACAGTATGACGATATTTTTTAGTTATCATGTTAAAATAACTGACAGTCTGTTAGACTACATTCTGCATTCAAGCCTTAAGCTAAAAAGAAAAAAATGAAATGCGTATACAACCTGTTCTTCGCTGCATCCACAAATGCAAGTTAAAACTTTACCATGCAAAGAAGAAACCATATATAAACAGGATCCAGAAACGTTGTTGTCTTTTCTGTACCCGAGCTCATTTAGATGGACTGGTGTGTATAATTGTGTTTTAGGTAGACTCGTTGTATTAAGTGTGTAAATTGGTACTTATGTGATTTTGTATTGATTGTATGATATTATGTATTTGAAATCTTTAAGTCTATTTTAAAAAGGAAAAACCAGAGGGAAGGCTAGGGCTAAGGCCAAGACTCGCTCCTCCCACGCTGGGCTACAGTTCCCTGTGGGCTGTGTGCACAGGCTTTTGCGTAAAGGCAACTATGCCGAGCGCGTCAGTGCTGGTGCTCCCATCTACTGGGCCATTGTGCTGGAGTATCTGAGGTCTGAGGCCTCGAGTTGGCTGATAACGCTGCTCACGACAACAAGAAGACCCGTATTATTCCTCGTCACCTGCAGTTGGTTGTTCGTAACAACGAGGAGCTCAACAAACTGCTCGGAGGAGTCACCATCGCTCTGGGTGGCGTCCTGCCCGAAATTCAGGCCGTTCTGCTGCCCAAGAAGACGTTTTTGGAAATTATGGACATTGCGTCCTCCGGGCTAAAGAGCACCTGGCTTGTTATCAGTGCACAGTTCAAAAGTCAGCATCCGTGATGGTTTGGGGGTGCATTAGCACACATGGCATGGGTGACTTACACATCTGTGAAGGCACTATTCATTCTGAGCAATATATACAGGCTTTGACAACATATGCTGCCATCCAGACACTGTTTTTTTTTAAGAAAGATCTTGCTTATTTCAGCAAGACGGTGCCAAACCACATTCTGCATATATTAGATCATTACAACACGTATTGGCTCCGTAGAAAAGAAAAAAAAAAAAACTTTTTGCAGTCCAGACCTGTGACCTATTAAAAACATTTTGCACATTATGAAATGAAAAATATGACAAAGGAGACCTGAACTGTTGAGCAGCTGAATTGTAAAACATTTCACTCTCAAAACTATAGCAATTGGTCTCCTCAGTTCCCAAACACTTACAGAGTGTTGTTAAAAGAATGGGCATACATTTTTCAAAAACCAATACAGTTTCTCAGTTTCAACAATTGTTATTATACTATTTTCAATTAAAAATAGGGTTTGAATGATTTGCATATCATTGCATTCTGTTGCACAATGTCCCAGCTTTGCAGAAAAGGGCTCATATATATATATATATATATATGTATGTGTGTGTGTGTGTGTGTGTGTGTATATATATTCTGGTCTTCTTGGCCAGGCCTGAACCTCAATTTATAGAAAATAATTGCTATAATTTAAATTGCAGTCACAATATTGGTTAGAAAAAAGATATTTTCTCCAAATTGTTCAGCTGTATTGAGAACCCATGACATCAGTATTGGTGAGAAATATCAATAAAACACTCAATTTCAGTGATTTCTTTTATTGATAAAACATCGACCCCCAATATGAACAAAACTGTTCACTTCATGATGACAGTCATCATATGCTCCCTTGTATTACCTCACAGGGTGAACTAGTAAACAGTTTAAAGACATACCAGCATTATCATGATTTAAGTTAATAAAGCTTTTACATGTTTTTTGATATTCTATGAGGAGAAATAATGGAAAATAAAAGCTAATTAACAGAAGTTAACAAAATCACAGACATCCCCCCCCCAATATTTTGTGTGAAAAGAAAAAAAGATTTGACCATTCACAGTTGACATATTAATGCCCATGGTCTTGGAATAGGATGACCAACAGAATAATGTAGGTGTGACTTGAAAATTTAAGCATGTCCAGCAGAAAATGATCTGCATCTCTGCGTCACGGACTATTAGTACATTAGTGTTAAAGTTCACTTCATAGGGTGTAAAAGGCATTGCCTTTGTGTCATATCATTTTGCTACTTGGTACACTGTTTATTATGCATTGACTTTACACAGTGATTGTCACCACTATTCAGTTTCACCAATCAACATGTATTACCCACATTAGTCTTGCAGATTCACAGATATTCCACAACCTGTGGCAGTGCTACAGTTTCACTGACCACATTTCGCTTATAAAAACATAGCCTTTCCACTTAAGCGGTAATTGCAGGTCAACTTAATTCCTTTTAGTCCTCCTTATTTTGATGGTGTCATTCCTGTCTACAATGCTGCCTGACCAGGCCCGCTTCTCTGATTATTTTGTTTTGTGTTATTTGAAGAGACAGCACCAAGCAAAGTTAATCAGTCTGAATCCAATTACCATCATGTTTAACCCAATGATGGACACCTCAAGGTGAAGCAACTGGCGCTAAGTGTCCACATTATTATTCCATGCAGGACAGCTCATCTAAATTACAATCCACCGCACTGTTCCATTAGCTACACTCCGACTTGCTGTCTAACCCTTTCATTGCTCTCCGGTTGGTTCTGCTCCTGCTTTCCAAACGTCTTACCACAATCCACCCTACAATAATGTGCGCTGCTTCATCTAGTTGTAACTTGTTAATCATTCATCATTGCTAAACCAATGAAAAAATGTAGCATGGATTAAATGAAAATAACAGCAAACATATAGTATATCTGTGAATCTTTGTCTTTAAGTCATGCACTGACTGTCCCACGTGAAGGAAATGGCAGAGCCATTTTCTGCTATAGACATTACATGACAGTAGTTTATAGTTGCCACTTTGCCTGTTATAGACCTTAAAACACCAGTGGGCAACACAATGCAAGGCATCTTGGAAAATAAAAATGGTTCAGTCTTCATGTTGTGAATATTCTAGGTGCTGTTTATGTTGATGCAAACATTTCATCATAAATGGACCACTGTAAACTATGCAGAATTACTTGAAATGAAATCTAAAATCCAAATCGTATTTACAAGACAATATTCTTGTTTTCCTGTCATTTTTGATCAAACTGTAGTGACTGTGCACCAGCGGGCCGGGAACATGATATTAATCAGTTAAAACGATGTTTCAGAGGCTTGAAAGTGGTCTAATCGTTTAACCTATCATCAGGAGATCATGAGTTCGACTAACAATTTAAGTCAGCAATGTTCTTTCCTTCTGCTACAAGGTTACCACTCTGGGAATAAGAAGTTTTGATGGTGACAGACAGATTTAACAAACACAAAAGGCTCAAGGATAAATTAGGCTTTCAAAGTAAAAATTAAAAAAAAAAATCTATAAATTCATATTTAAACAGCATCATAATTTTTACTAAAAAATGTCAGGTGGCGCAACCACACTTCAAAAAACATAGATTCTACTTTTAAAGAGTTTACAAATACTGAAAACTCTTAAAAACGTAGTCTTTGTACTTGGACATGCTTAAAAACCTTTGTCCCTGAAATCAAGCTTAAGCATAATTCTAGTTTTCTTTAAATATATTTTTCTTTAAACCCAACTATGACTCAAAAATGACCATTTTTTCAATATTTATGAAGGCGCCTTTGGTGTTTACATTTTCACCATGAAGGTCACACTTTCTTAAAAGCATGTCAGAATAAGAGTCAGTTTTGTCGTTTGTGCCGCATGACATTTCAGGAAATCAGAATTATGGACAAGAGTTTTGCGGTGTCCTATTTTGCATGTTTTGATTGATTTTAAAGGTTTCAAACATAATGCCAAACTAGTTTATTTAAAATTTATATAACTGAATTTATCTTTTCATTAGTTTACTTAATCTTCATATGTGGTTGGACGGTCGTACTACCTGACATGTTTAGACTTCAGGAGGCATAAGTGCCTAAAATTATATTTTGATGCATTTTGGTGTGCATTCACATAAAGGAGGTACTGTAGAATAAAGAGATCTATGTCAGGTTTTTGTTAAGTTATTTATTTGGACACACAAAATGTATGTCATGTCATTGACACAAATAAGTAAAGACAAGATAAAGACAACCAAGCTGACTTCAGTGGTTCTCAGGTGACTTTTGAGGTTTATTATTTGGTATTTTATCCTTGACTGTAGTACTTGGGGGTCAATATGCAAGAGGCATTGAGCTACTCAACAGTGGTGTAAAGGTACCACTACCTCTTTCAGATATCTTTTGATTGGCACTTAATTAGCAGTTCTGGCTTACAATTCACAAAACACCTGTGTTGGATACAGCACAGTAGAGAGACCAAAGTTGCAGTTAGTGCCTTTGATACTGTAGATTCTAAAAGCAGAGACTATTCACATACAGAGGATATGCACAGCCTCTAATTCTGTTATTACATGGAACAAAGCACCTGGATGAGTCCTCTCTTGGGCCCAAGGCCCTGCTCACGCATCATTGACATCTTCATCAAGAGCTGCTGGCTCAAGAGATCCCTTTTTTGATAGTGGATATGCACCTCACCACTAATGAAAGTGTTCACAAGGAAGAGATGGCATATTCTGTTCAAATGTTTATCAGGTGACATGCCCGTTTCTGAAAATCGGCAGTGTGGTGCCCAGACATGCATTTTTCATTTGAAAAAGGATGCTCACATTCTCTCTCTCTCTCTCTCTCTCTCTCTCTCTCTCTCTCTCTCTCTCTCTCTCTCTCTTTTACAGCCAGAGAAATGACGAGGGGGAAATTTCTCAACATCTTGGAGAGACCCAAAAAATGAAGACTGAGGGATTGTTATACAGAAAAGTATAGCAGAATAACATCTAACTGATTTGTAACATCTTGAATATCTAGCTAACTGAAGTTGAGTCAGACAATACATTGCTAAAATGATACAAACTCTCTGTACATATATAATGTGTAAAACAGATTTTTTTAATTATTATTCTGCTGTAGAGCAAGTAGCTTAAATAAACACTTTTTGTTAATGCTTATTCACTATTTATTAACTCTAATTTTAAATTTCCCCTCAGCATTATTTTCAATTCAATGCTCATTGTTAAATAAAACCAAAGCTTTTCAGATAGTTTTTCTGTTGTTTGTTCAAATGTCTTTTTAAAGTTATTAATTTAGCTTGTCATAATCAAGCTAATTGGCATTTTAATCAGCCACTTTTAAACTGCAGCAAGAAGTAAGAGTTTGGTTCCCATTGGGCATCCTGTGGGACACCGTAAAAGTAGCTTGCATAAAACAAGAGCAGTTTATGTGGCACCGTCAAAACTTTTTAATTAGGGCAATAACTTCATGCTTGTGCCACTCCATAGACTGGACTCATTAGCATCCCTCTTTAAGTCTGAACACGTAAGAGGCTCTGACATGAGTGTGCTTCCACAGCAGTGCAAGGCCATTTCTCCTTTTTAATGGGAATTGGAAGTTTTGAGGCCCCACAACACAAAACATTGCATAAAAATAATATTGCTCATTGTCATCCTCGTTAACGAGAGTTGACATAATTACTAGGGCCATTTCTTCTCTAATTAGCACACTTCCAGGGACATTGGAGCGAGTGGTCTGGGGGAAAAGGGAATCAGACAGGCATGCTGAACGGGAAACAAAGAACGCTCTGGCGAGTGTAATTAGGTGAGACAATAGCCAGGACTGTTCTCGGCTGGAGATGTCGAAGAGGCTTCGGCCACGGTTGGGGTGCATTCGCTCCTGCTCTCTCCAGCTTGAAGAGGTACGCCTCTCCCCTCTCTAATAAGCCCCTAATTGTCTTTCTGATTCACACGCACCATGGAGGCTACTGCCATTAACTTTCCAGTGCTACTATTTCAGTCTCACTGTTCTTATACCGAAGTAAATGTTAATGAATTTTGGTGGTGGTTATGTTTTTTCTTTGAGTTGAAGGCCACTGATGACCCTTGAATGCATGGATAAGCATTAAATGGTTTCCTTGAATGGCATGGCACCTATGGTGCTGGCTTTTTTACATTTTATCTCGCTGTTAGTGGTAAATTGTATGGTGAGGCCTGTTTGCATTAGATATTTGCACTTGTTGATTCTGACGGTCACACTTGTTGATTTTGATTATCTAACTGATTATCACACTAGCGGATGCAGTGAGCACCGTGAATCGACCAGTCAGCAGTCTGACACCATGCCAAGTGTCTTGACATTCACATAATGGCCCCTGCCACTAGTGGCCGACTATCAACAGGGTCTTGTCCAGACATCCTCCTTAAGAAGGGGATCATTCCCCGTGGAGGGGCCGTCTCCTGGAGGGGGAAAAACCAGAAATCCCGGCGTAGACACAAACAACCTGCTGCCCTGACCTCAGCGGGCCTCGGTGCCCTGACAAACGTCAATCCGATGTGCCCTCAGGCCTTTAATTAGCTGTCAATTAGTGCAAATTAATCAACTCCTCGCCTAATTAAGCAATGCCGGCAGGCAGCTTCCAAACACGCCATTGTGGGAGCACCATGAGAAAACTGGAGCTAGCAAACTCAGTCTGCTTCAGGGGGCCATCACACCCTTGGCAGCACACAAGGGGGGAGGTCTGGGGGGGACTTCGCTGAGTGTTTGAATTTTTTTCCACCGACTCAGCACAAGATGTTTGCTGTTTTTGGGCAAGGCTTGTTTCAGCACTACTCCAGTGCTCCAGGCCAGGTTTTGGGCAAGGACCTCTCCCCCTCAAAGCAATTTAAAGCTACCCTCAAAGCCAGTTATATATATATATGGTAATAACCCCTTTTGAGAAATATCTTCTCAAATTAAGAATGAGGAAGTTGAATGTATCCACAGCCTTGTTTTTCATCTACACTGTGTTCTGTGTCTTGGTGTGTGGTCAGAGTGTGAAAGTACTAAATACAACATTAAAAACTATTCATCACTTCTAATAGGCCTACATGGCAAATGCAGATAAATGGCTTAGGAGGCCCCAGTGATCTTTCATTTAGATTGCCAGACATGAGAAGATCAAGCTCTGGCAATCTGCGTAGGGGATGGGCTAATGCAGCGCAGTGTCCCTACCACAGCCCATCTCAAGCTCATTACCTTGTAGTGACCTTCCTCAGCAGTGAAAGTTCTCCCCCTGCTCAGAAAGAAAAATAGCCATCAAGTGCCTCCAAATAAGTCAGACCTTGATTGGTATGCATTGCGTTACCCTGTTATTGTTGGGCCTTTTTGGAGCAGTTAGTCTGCATCAAGGCCATTTTGGCCTCTCTTAGTAGTTTTATCTTTCTCTGTAGTAGAGGCCGCTGCAGTTATGTAATGTAGGATCTATTTTGAATTTTTTCAGTTTCACCATTTCCTAAAAAGCCCAAAAACTACCATCTGAAATGGCAGCCCACCTAAAGGATTCTGCTGCAGCACGCTGAGTTCTCTCTCAAGCAAAAGAGAATATTCAGAAAAAAATAAATTTTGCAACAGCTGGTTTGCCTTTTAATCTGCAGACCATCAGATCTCCCAGTCTTTGATAGCCCCCCACCCATCTACACGAATGACTGAACTAAATCCTCCTCACAGCCTTATTAGTCTGTCCTCATGCGCATGTAAATCAGGAGGCAGGCATTTTCGCATGTAGATGGTTTATTAAAAGCTGTGGAGGGAGAGTGGGGTGTTTTTCCCCCGCATACAATAAACAACAAAGAGCTGCACAGATTAGGACAGAAGTGGTTAGGTGAGAGAGGGCAGCAAGCCGTGTGTAATTGCCAGGCTGCTCCAGGGTTGAGTGAATAGATGGGTTTATCTCGACTGGCTGAGGCGTCATTAGCATATCATGATAACATTGATTTCTTCATTAACCGTAATGAAACTTCCACTTAATGGCTTCTAATTAGTTTCAACTGGTGCCCGTGTAATTGCAGGAGTAATATTTTGCTCCCCCTTCATCAGCGGCGCGAAAGTTGAAGTGCTTGATAGGAAATCTACGAGCCAGAAGAACAAGCTTTCTGAGAGGAGAGTTGTTTTCGTTCAGTAACGTTGGCGCTGCGGTGGCGTGGATACTTAAACAAAATGGCGCCTCGCCTTTCACGTTTGTGGTAGTGATTTTGCTGTAGTTTAACGGTATATGACGGTATCTGTATTTGGAAAGATTAACCTCTTATTGACCAGGGTATATTTTGGTTTTTCCATCTGAATTTACATGACCAAATCGTAAGGCAAATTATTCAGTAACTGCATGAAATAACTGAGTTTTTATTTTATTTATTTTTTATTTTTTGTAAAAGCTCCCCTCAAATTAACAGAACAAGTGTTTTATGATCATACACATATTGCTATATGCTTACAATTTACTGCTGAAAGCCGAAAATCTTAGACGCTCTTTGTATTTTTTTATTAAAATAATTTTTACAGAGCAGATCACTGAAGAGATGCCATCTGTTTATAGTTTATAGCCCAGATTTGTGGGAAAAATGGGTCGACTTTCAGTAGACAAAAAAAATTGTGAGTTCTTCTGTTATAAGGGTTTAAAATTACATTACTCTTCTATTTGACTGGAAAGAAGACAGTTACAGCTCTCATATGACGCCCACCTTTTGAATGTAGCTTATGAAATATGAAAGTTATGAAGAATATGACGAAGTGCGTTTTGGAAACACCAGTGGTGCCAAGGAGTTGAAAAGATCCTATGTGTTTATATTTGTATGTTTAACACTATGTTCTTTTGTTGAAATATTACAGTATGAAAACTACTGGACTGTGGTTGGAGTAGAAACAGCTCTGGGCCAAACAGCTTTCCTCAGGGTGTTACTGTTAGCTTAGCATCAGCTTCTTTTAAAAAAAAGCCTGTGTACACTCTTAAACAGACGTGTTTAAAAATTACACTAAAATTATTCTAACTAGACACATTGGTGAGTTCAGATATATGGGCATATATGTACACAGATGTATGTATCAAATATTGGACATATATGTCTGATATATGGTTGAATATCTCCCAGTACAGTTATAATTGTTAGTAGGTTAACTGTTTACTTTTAAATAATTAAGTTTTTAAACGTGTCAGGGGACAAAACTTTAATTCGTGTTTTAATGATTTTATTGCGTGTATTTAGTGGTTATGTAGCCATTATACTCATTTATTATACTTATTTTCACTTCATTAGGAAGTACGTGGGAGAAACAAAGATGCGTAAAACCTTGTATTCATATGAAGCTATCATATATGAGTACTGTATGCCATACATGTAAGAATAATGTTTTCTATCATATATTGTTAGATTACACATACATGTTTGTATGTGTTGATAAATGGCTGAAATGTATGTCCCATATTTGAAAATGACCAATTTCATATGAGTTGGTATACATGTCACACATATGTCCACATGTGGCTAATATAAGTTGGACATGAGGGAAATACATATATGTTAATATGCGTGATATATTTGAAGTCTATAAATCGTCATACATCAGATTTTCGTATGGGGTGGTAACGTGTTAAAACAGAAACCAATATGACACAAGCTATGTTAAAACACGTAACAAGTAAGTGTGTTAAATAACAACACTTTTTAGAGTGTAACTTGCGTCAAAACGAGCAGAACAGAGCCTAATAAACCTAAAGGGCAAGTCCGACGATTAAAAAAATCGTTAGATAGTTGCGATGTGAACAAAATCGTTCATTGTGGTTTAGTGTGAAATGCTCCGTTCTAAAGAAACTTACCGAGTCAAAATTGTTCACAGTGGTGGTGATAGGAACCAGACGTCTGAAGAGTGTAAGTCCTCTGAAAGCTCCCTTACAGAAAGCCATAACATGATTTTTTATGAATGCACTGCCTGATCCTGACACGTTGTTTTACGATAGTTTCGCAATAAGCTGTTGGTCAAAAACGTATGTTTTAAAATACATTTATGGCGGAGAGGTATGTGTATGGCTTTATGGGGCAAAATAGTCCCCAAATTACTTTTTTCCAGATCTACCACTATTTAACCACTATCAACATTAAAACTCAGAAGACGTGTAGCTTCACTGCTCATTTTGAATAGTAAATAAAACGGCTATATTTGTGTTGCAGAAATTGTGACTTCTGGTTTCTGTAACCACCACTGTGGACAAATCTGGGTCAGTGCGTTTTTCTGCCACGACCCATTTCACATCAAAACGCTCTGAATTACTTTCAGATTCAACGATTGAGTTATGCAGAAAGTGGGCCTATCCTTTATAAACGCTGCCTGTGCATCGTAGAACTGTGCCGCAGTTCTGTAAGTTACTCAGTTTGTACTGATGCAACAACACTTTTACTGAAGTAGGAGTTTAGGACTCTGCTCACCTCTGCTGGTCAGTTTACTGGAACTGGAAATCCAGCCTTGGTGATCTAGACCCTGCAGAGAGTATTTAATATCAGAGCGTTTTCGAGCACCCTTAACCCTCCCGTTATCTTTGTGATCAATTTGACCCCATTCAGTGTTTAATGCCTCTAATTAAATAACTGACTTTTTTTGCTTCATATTTCATGATTTTTCCTAATTTAATGGGACAACTGGGTAGACATAAAATTAGCATGATGATATGTTCTCAATGTCTTGTACACCTGTTTTACGCATCAGTGTTCTTTGGGGTCAGTTTGACCCCAGGCTGTCGTATAAATCACAAGAAATATGAGCATTTTACACACAATTGTTTTGGTTGTTTTGGATGATATTGAGATCACTATAACATGCAAATTTATAATCTTCAAAAAAAAACCTATAGTGCACCTAGTAGTGCGGGAACCACTGATAGTGCACACCACATGGGGGAGGGGAAACCCCACCAGAACTTTGATATTTCCCGGCGGTTTAAATTGCTGAGGTCAAACTCACCCCAAGGATGAAAGAAGTCAGTAAATTCAAAGGTAACAGGAGGGTTAATTCGTATAATTTATGCAGGTTGGTTGAGTTTGGTGTAGTGGGGCAGTGTGGTGTAGGCTAAGGCATACACATTAACTGATCTAATGGTCTAAAGCCGTCCTTCAGTTCGACACTAAAAATTACTTTTGTCACTTAATTAGCCATTAACAACATTTCCCTTTTCTCATTTAGAAAATATACACTCCGAAAAAAAGGTTCTAAACTGTCGCAGGGGTGATACCCTTAGGGGTCTTCAATACCTTTGGTTTGGGAACATAATTCATAACTCATTTCAAATTCTATTGTTTTATTTTGTATTGACTCCACACACCCAGCCTTGTGTCCAGCCTTTTTATTATCTTGTTCTGTTTTTAAACATAAGGTTATGAAAAGGTACAACTATGTTCTTTTCCTCTGGGACCTTAAAACCAGTGTTGTACCGTTGTGGGTGCATTTACACTGTTTATACTTTGTTTCTTTTTTTATTTATATGTATCAGTTCGTGAGGTTACATTACATTTCTGAGCGCAGGCCTGCAGGATCTGATGGCCATCTCTCCTAATTGCGGTGGACTCATGCCAGTGAAGAATTAGCATGGCGTGGTAATTGAATAATGTCCCATACGGTCACAAATCACACGGCTTTTCTGGGCTTTTTTCGTCCCTTAAGCTGCTAAACTCCCAGTTCAAACAGGATTACAGTGCATCTTTTTTATTTCTGATAAACAGGGCTCCGTGAGCATTGATACCTCCAGACCCCCATTACAACCCCCAGTAAGACCCTGCTGGTGGAGCTGTGGGGCTTTGTGCAGGTGGCTTTGGCTACAATTAGCAGGAGAAGCATCAGTCACTCTCTCCTGAGGATTCACTCACTTACGATCCATAGTTTTTTTTCCCTACCGGTATTCCGACAAACTCCGCCCACTGCTCTGCGATTGGCTAGTGCCGTAGAAATGCTAGCAAATGCGTCGGCTGGGAATGTTTACTTTAAAGCGACGGTCCAATCAGGTAGCAGCACTCTTGAGTGTCAACTGCTATCCAATTATTTCGCGCGAGGCGGTGTTTGGAGGGATTCTAATACCCAATCCTGGACTCGGAGGCGGGGCTTCCTGAAAACAGGTGGAGATTAAAAACACCCTCCTTCAGCTCGCTCCGCTTTGTCCCTCGTTCCGCTGCTGTCATGTGAACGTTTATTTATTCAGCAGCACATGGCACTTTGATAAGATCAGTGTTCTCTCCGACTCTCCATCAACGGCTCACTGCTCATTTCCATAAATTATCTCCTAGTAATTATCTGTCCAGATGTCCAAATTGTGCCACAAATTATCTCCAAACGAATCAAATCCCACCGTAATTTAGTAATAGCTGATTAGGACGCGTATTAAAAAAAAATGAAATATAATTAGGATATATTTTGACTCAAACAAGTGTGTGAAGGTCTGAGACTTATGCAGTGACCTCTCTGTGACCAAAGCTCTTCTAAATGGCTTTATATCGCAAAATATCTTATACCAAATGTCAAGTTAAGGTCTGCATTATCTGAGTTAGTCCCATCGGGCTCTGTACTGTATCTCCGTCATTGTCATAAGAAATTTGAGGGACTTCCTTTATCTGATTTAGCCCGCAGTTAAACATACACGCCTTAATGTTATTCTCATCACCTGTGTTTTGTTTTTACACTGCACACTTAAAAAAGATGGTTCTTCAAAGGTTCTTTATAGAACTCATGTATTCTGAACCATAAGTTCTATAGAACCCTTTCGTGCTTAAATGGTTCTTTGCATGGTGAAATGGTTCCTTAGATTGATGGAGAATGTGTTGTATATGGTTCTATATAGAATCTTTTTGAAAATAGTTCTAGAACACCAAAAGGGTTCTTCTGTTGTTACCAGCTTGACATTATAACAATAGTAGAACCCTTTTTTGGTGCTATGCAAATGGTTCTTTGAGTGTTCGTGGTTCTATATACAACCAATGTCTTTACTAAAGAAATAAAAACAGGGCTTCTCTTCGTGCTGGTCTGAACGGGATTCATTCAATGTCAGTTTGATATCCCGATCCAGCCACGTCTGGCTGTAAATTACGACAATTAAGCTGATTTGTCTCAGAAAGAGCGCTTTATCCAGAGCAGAACCAAATCCCAGCCAATTGATGATGTGATTACGGCCACTGTATCAAAACAAGGTGACGGAGAGGCAGCGTTTCAGATCAGCCCAGAGCCGAAATCAGAGCTGCGCTGTCCCTGTTGATTTTTTACCTCTCCCCGTCACTCCTCTAGGCGGGGGCGGCGTTTAATCCCGAGCGGTTAAAGCTTTTTATCGGCACTAATAGCTTTAACAATCGCAAGTGAGACTGATGATCAGGAGTCAGAGCTGCTCCGCTTCGGCTCAGATTAATCCAGCGGTGCTCGCTCTTAATGCAACACGTGAACACTTAACGAATAAAGCTAATATATTTCAAAACAGACCCAGATCTCCAGCCCAGCCGGTGAAGGTCTCCTCTGTTACTCAGACATTTCAGTTTTATTGTGTTCATCGCTGATAAATTCTCCATCACTGGCTCTAAGTGACGGTGTCGCGGCTCATGTGCACATTTTTATCTAAACCGTGTGTGGATGGTTGTCTGTGATCGGGGGTCCTGCACCTCTCCGGCTCGAGCTGGGTGGGGTGTATCGGGGTGTTTGATCACGCTCACCAGTTCAGCTTCCTGTGCGTTAGATTCCGTGTGTGCGGATGAGGGGAGGCTGTGAGCGCTCGCGCTGACTCTGAGAGTCGAGATGTCGAGTCCAGTGAGGGTCCTCCGCTCTCAGAGACGAGCACCAGCCTCCGCTGACACACCGCTTCACCAGAGCCGAATATCCGTGATGATGATGATGATGATGATGGTGGTGATTGTTTTGATCAGCTGCGGCGTTTAGGCTTGAAAATGGAAATAAATGACGTCATTTATTTAAAACATTCCAAACATAACTTTTAGACACAGCCTCATAATAATAATAATAATAATAATAATATTAATAATAATAATTATTATTATTATTATTGCTGTTGTATTTAATTATTTATATTTTATAATATATTATATATTATATATATATTATAAATACTATAAATATATTATATAATTTATTAGAATTATTATTACTATTAATAACAATAACAAATAATCATAATAATAGTAATAATAATAATAATAATAATAATAGACAATTAATTATAATAATGCATTATTAAGATAATTAACGACAATGTATTAAGCAAATTATCGTTAGTGCTGTTGTTGTGTATCATATACCGGCTGTATTGTTTGTGTTACTAATCTATTATCATGTTTCATAGTAATAGTCGTATTTATTTTCAATTTTGTATATTTCTATTTTTATTTAGTGTATCTACATTTATATAATTGTTCTGTAAAAAAAAGTTTAAGCTAATAAAGCTAATAAAGTTTGGTTCTTCTTTAGTAGCATAATAATCTAAATAATCTAAATCATCATAAACATCTGAATAATCGAACCTTTTATTTTGTAATTTTGTGAGCGCTGTGCAGTGTTGTGTGTTGTGTTTTATCTGGTCGTTGTGTGTTGTGTTTTGTATTGTGTTTGTGGTGTGTCGGCAGTGTGTGTGTGTGGTGTGTGTTCTGCTGAACCTGATGAAATGGAGTGTAAGCTGAGCGGGTTTGCTGGCCGCTGATTGGCTGCTGAGTTTGGGATAAAAGGGGAATTAGAGCTCTGCTCGGCTCTGCTCCGCTGTGCTGTGTTGGGCTCTGCTGTGCTCACGGGGGAGCGGCGCGGGAGTGTGTGTGTGTGTGTGTGTGTATTCTCACTGCGGCATGACGGGGAAGGAAGGGGCCGTGCTCGCGGAGAGCGGCGCTAAAGCGACCGGCGCGAGCGCTAAGAACCTGAGCGCGCACACGCAGCCGCGCTGCACGGGCTTCGGCATCCAGGAGATCCTGGGCCTCAATAAAGAGCCATGCTGCGCTCCGCGCGCAGCGCTGGACACCAGCCCCGCCGCGCACCTGCTGACCGCCAGGTCCATGCAGGGTCACGCCGCTGCAGTGGCCGGTATGGGGGTCGGAGTTGGGATCGGGGTGGGATTACTCGGTCCTGGAGGCATTCCGTCCTTCTACAGCCAGCCCGCCTTCCTGGAGGTGCTGTCAGACGCGCAGAGCGTCCACCTGCAGCCCCTCAGCAAGACAGTGGCGCAGCTGGACACCAGCCAGTCCGCAAGCTCAGGTACACACTGAACACCTCTCTCTCTCTCTCTCTCTCTCTCTCTCTCTCTCTCTCTCTCTCTCTGTCTCTCTCTTACTTTTTCTCACACATATACACACACACACCACTGAACACCTCACATACACACACACCACTGAACACCTCACATACACACACACACCACTGAACACCTCACACACACACCACTAAACACCTCACACCACTGATACACCTCACAAACACACATCACTGAACACGTCACACATACACACACCAATGAAAACACCTCACACACACTACTGGGCACCTATTACACACACACCACTGAACACCTTATGCACACCACTGAACACCTCACACACAGATCACTGAAAACCTCACACACACCACTGAACACCTTACGCACACACACACATCACTGAACACCTCACATACACCACTGAACAGCTCATACACACACATCACTGAACAGCTCTCTCACACACACTTCTAAACACCTCATGCACACCACTGAACAGTTCATACACACACATCACCTCACACCTCACACACCACTGAATCACACACACCACTGACCTCACACGCACAAATGCACACACCACTGAACACCTTAGACTACTGAACACCTCACACACACCCACACACCACTGAACACCTTAGACTACTGAACACCTCACACACACCCACACACCACTGAACACCTCACACACACCCACACACCACTGAACACCTCACACACATACACCATCAAATAATTCTTACACACACATACACACATGCCACTGAACACCTCACACCACTGAACACCTCACACACCATCAAACACTTCTTACACACGCACACACCACTGAACACTTCACACACACACACCATCGAACACCACACACACACACCACTGAACACCTCACACACTACTGAACACCTCACACATACACACACACATACAGACCAGACCATCAAACACCTCACACACACCACTGAACACCTCACAGACCACTGATACAGGATTTGTACAAGACAACTGAGTCATTAGTCATCACTGGTTAATACTACTACTACTACTACTACTAATAGTAATAATACAATAATGATAACTATTGTATTATTATTATTATTATTATTATTATTATTTAATACTAATAATAATAAGAAGAAGAATATGCAGCTCTTATCACCAAATGTCTAAAAATATCAAAATGTTAAGTATTATGATGATGATGATAATGATGATGATGATTATTATTATTATTATTGTTATTATTAGTAGTATTATTAATAATAAGAATAATCAAAATAATAATAATAATAATAATCACAATAATAATAATCGTTATCTTGTTTTATAAAGGTCATTATTGTTAGTCTAATATTATTTCTTTAGTATGATTTTAACTAACTATTATGCTAACATATCATTATCACGTGTAGGATCAGCTCTCTAACAGGAGTGGAGTTTACTATAAAGTTATCCAAGTAAGATCCTGTTTTAAAGTAAATAGACAGTAAATAATAATAATGTCTCTACTATGTGTAGTAAATGCTGAGCAGAGCGCTGCTTTTTGAGCTGATGGATGTTGACGGGGTTAATAAGGCAGAAAAGCTGCTCTCTTTCCCTCTCCCTCTCTCTCTCTCTCTCTCTCTCTCTCTCTCTCTCTCCTCCTCTCTTGATCATCATGCTGCTCTTCCTCTGTTCGCAGACTCAGAGGAGGTTTCTTCCAGTGAGAGAAAAATCTCCAAATCATCACTGAGTCAGAGCAAGAAGCGCAAGAAGAGACGACACAGGTGATTCTTTACACCTTCACACACCCATCACTGCAGCCCAGAGAGAAAGAGAGAGAGGGAGAGAGAGAGAGCTCCAGCTCCACATCACATCCACAGACACCCCCTCACAAGACTTCAGGCTCTGATGATTTACCTTTAGGAGTTCTGTGGTCCAATAAGCTCGTGTCGACACATAAAATAATCGCTGAATGAAAATGTGAGTTTGGACGAATAAATCTGCAAAATCAGTGAAACTTCTTTAGACTCTATTCAGACTTTTTACACACTCTTAAATTAATTTAGCCTGTAGACCTAAAACTCTAAAACTAGATTAACAACACAACAACAACATAATAATAATACTACCACTACTAATAATAATCATCATAATAATAATAATAGATGATGATGATAATGATTATTATTATTATTATAGTAATATGTGGAAGCAGTAAATGTTATTTGTATTCATTTAGATTTAGTGAATTGATGATCAGCAGATTTTTAGCTTTTCATTCTTCTGTTATTTCTGGAAATCACTCACAGCTTTTCACACTTGTTGATATTTGTTTCGCGGAGCCTCTGAGCCTCTTCACTCTGTTATCAATCTGAGTTATTATTATTATTATTATTATTATTATTATTATTATTATTATTATTAAGTTATCAACAGAGAGAAACACAGAGAATCAGCTTGAATTGATGCTCGAGCTCCAGCTGGAGTCACTAAAATCTCCAAGATTAATAACTGTAGTAATAACTGTAATGATGATTTGGTACCTGCAGTGTTGTTTTAATATCTGTTGTGCTGATTTAAGTCCAGCTGGGCCTAAATGGACCCTACAGGAGTTCACTGACCATGAGGGCGGTACAGTGAGATAGACTCTCTCTCTCTATGTGTCTCTGTGTGATAGTAATGCCTTTAAAGAGATTTTAAACTCAAATTCGTTACCAAAAATGATCAGCGTTTTTTCATATTTCACACTTACTTTAACATCCACACTGTGTACTGACCCGTCTCACCACATAAGGTTAGACTTTAATACATAACTATGTAAACCACCAGTTTTATAACGAATAAATAAAAAGTCGACTAAATCATTTTACCCCTTTTCATTCTTTTTTATTTGACTGTACCAAAACGAAGCTTTTATTCCTGCTGAATTACAAACGAACATTTTTCATTTAACCATAGATCTAAATGAATGAGATCATATCGTCACTGCCCAAAAAAGTAGTATCTCCATTTTTGTTGATTTTATATTTGTAGATCATTCGATTTCAGCAGCTGCTCTTTACACTGTGTGAAAATGACCAACCGAAATGCTCCACAATTGCTTGGAATAAAATCTCTCTACATTAACTTACATTAAAAGAAAAAAGCGTTTCTGAGTCTCCTGTGAACTCACCGGTTTGGAGATGCTTGTTTTTCTTTGAACAGCGACTGTATGGAATATGGAAACAGTGTCCGGAGGAGACGAGCTGCTCAGGGGCTGAGTACAGTCTTCAGATCCTCTGTGTTTCTGTTTCAGTGGAGTTTCTTTGTTTTTACAGGACGATATTCACCTCCTATCAGCTGGAGGAGCTGGAGAAAGCCTTCAATGAAGCTCACTATCCTGATGTTTACGCCAGAGAGATGCTGGCAATGAAGACAGAGCTGCCCGAGGACAGAATCCAGGTACACACACACACACAGCTCCGTTAAATCAGCCCGTTAATGTACAGCTCCTACATTTATTATGATGAGGAAAATACACACACAGTTTGTTGTGATTGATCTAAAGTGAAAGTTATTGTAATTCTAATATATGTAGTTAAAACATATAATTTAATCATATCAGGCTTTTATTCTCAATAAAAATATATTTTATTTTGTTAAAAATCAGAACCCAGACAAAAAAAACAACAACAAAAAACAGAATTTTGTATCTGTGTGATTTGGTGGATTAAAAAGGTTCTTACAGAACAGATGGACCAAAGGAAATGTAACCTTCAGAAATCACGGATAAAGGGTTAAAATCGGCATTTCAAACGTGCCGAAAAAGAAATTAATTCGTTTACGACGAAAATCTTCGTGTCTCAGTAACAAAATTCGTTTTTTTTTGTTTTGTTTTGTTTTCTGTTCTGTTTGAGTGCTGTAGTCGCTCTCAGAGCTGAATCTACAGGCTGTGTTTAAATCCTGAACGAAAATAAGCGCGTTAATTTTCTCTCTTTAATTCAGCCGTTACGGCCTTTTTCCTGGTTTTGTTTTAACGAGCACATCTGAACGAACAGAGCAGCTTCTGACTGAGGAGAACGTTTTACTGCCACATTTTAGGATTATTTCAGCCGGGTCTCCGCCTTTAACTTTGCGTCTCATTTTATTCTATTCTATTTTATTGTATCTTATTTTATTTATGCTGTTTATTTTCTGATCTCTTTTGTTTAACACTGCATGAATGTATAAGCTTTCGTCCTCCCCTGTAGTAAACGTGTCTTCAGTAAACGCGGCGGTGTGTTTGAGGGGCGATAATGCGTTTCCTCTGACTGTAAACCTCCTGTAACCTCACTATCCTGTAATGTGTTTTACACCGCATGTTCACAAGCCTGTACGAAGTTGCTCAGCTTCTTTTTCGAATTTTGCCGTTCCACCTTAAATTGTGTAGAACTTACATTCTGGAGCCCGAGGCGTTAAAATAACTGCCGCACCATTTAAGGTGGAACGGGTACATTCGAATAAGAAGCTGACGATTAGGAAGCCAACGTAAGCAGAATAAGGCCTGTAGAACATCGTCTAAGATCTTACGGGCGCCAGTACAAAAAATAACACTCCTCAACTTCCCGCATACAAATATTACTGTCGATAAAAAAATGACAACGATATTTTCTCGTTTACTCGCTGTTGTTTGGTCTCAAGGAAGCTGATATTCTCAAGGCGCGCCAGTCTCACCTAACGTCAACCTAAATACCTACATTAGGTCACCTGTTTAAGATTATTTATGAATCATGCGCAGGTGAAGGGTCGGTCAGCGTGGATGAGGTACTTTATGAAAAAGAGGGAGAGGGAGGTAGAGGTCAGGACTGTGTGGGTAGCGTTGATGGAAGGTAACTGTTACGAAATTGTATGTACAGTTGTGTCAGTATGAGAGTCCAGTAAAGATTTTAGGCCCGGTGCGATTCTAATCCTCCTTCTGTTTATAGACACTCTCAATGTTTCTTCAGAAATGAGTGAGGACTTGCTGTGTGGATTTGGTTGTATTCCGCCACAAGAACGTTGGTGAGGTCAGATGCGGATGTTGGCTGATCAGATCTGTCATTCCAACTCATCCTAAAGCTATTGAATGGAGCTCCATTACAGTGCGCATTTCCTTTGCTCCACAGCCATCTGCTGGGGGTCTTTATACCCCTCAAGCCGGCGCTTGACATTGAGTGTGGTGATCTTAGGCTCATGTGTGCCTGCTGCATTCTATTGGCAATGCTGGTTAAACGCTTTAAAGTAATTAATGTAGTAATTAAACTCACTGACAAAAGGTACTAAACTGTCACTGGGGTGGTATCATCAAGGGTTCTTCAGTGCAACAGGGATCAAAATTATACAATAATCTATTGAAATTATGTTGCTGTATTGATTCCACACACCCTGATCACAGCCCTTTACTGTTTAAACCATTTTACCGTTCTATTTTAAAATATTAGGTTATGAAAAGGTACAAATCCACCTCTATGGAAAAATGGATTTGAGTTCCACAGTTTGACCTTAAAACCGCTGCTGTACCTTTGAGGGCGCATTTATATTATTTGAACCTTTGATGAACGAAAGCAGCACCTGCTTAGTACTTTGTTGGCAGTGTAGAAGGGCTGACTGAGTCCTTTTGGACACACAGTGTACCAACTGTAGGAGAGAAACCCGGGTTTAGTTTTACACTCTTCGCTTTTCTTTTGAATCTGCGTTTAAAAAAGGAAAAAAGTGTGATGGTGCAGCTGAATGCCAGAGCTGTTAGAGAGGATGTATCGATCCTTTCTCTCCCTCTCTCTCTCTCTCTCTCTCTCTCTCTCTGTTCCCCGCGCGCCATTTGCGCAGATAATTCCTCATCTTCCTCCGCGCGCCAATGTGAAACAATTCGCAGCTCGCGAGCGCGCGCGTCCGCGCGACCGAGAGGCGTTAACGACCTAATCAGGCTGAGAGGATGGAGGGAGATTGGAGAGTGACCCGAGCCATCCGTCTGCAGGAGAGCCTTTCATTTCCCCCTCATTACGGCTCCTCTCCATGAATAAATAATGAGGGCAGAGAGAAATAAATAAATAAATAAATAAATAAATAAGGCTATTCCGCTCGTAAGGAAGATGAACATCTCATTTTCTGCTCTGCTGTAATTAGTTAAATGAGAGCGGCCTGCTGGAGGAGTCTCGCAGTGCGGCGCTGCGCGGGCTGGATTAGCGCGGGTCAATGGCGCCTCTCCCCCGGGCCCTGCTCCTTTAATTTCCCGTGATATTTGCCCGCCTGTCCGCCATCGATTGGGCCTGAAATTAACTTATTTTTCAATCAGCCCTCGTCGTGCCCCCTGGGGGTCGCCTTCTCCTCAGCTCTCTCTCTCTCTCTCTCTCTCTCTCTCTCTCTCTCTCTTTCTCTGTCTCTCCCTCCACCGATAAAACCAATTTCTCTTGGACGCGCAGAAAAAAGCCTTTGCATGAAATGAGGGCCATCGTCAAAGTGTAAGACGTGTTTGAAAACGGTTTGGATAATTTCGTGTCTAGTGGACGGGTGCTGGTGTTTGTTACTGCTCCTATCCACCCGCCCCACCCACCCGCACCCCTCCCTAGTGCTCCCATTAGGCTGAGATTAGAGGAGGTGAGTGCTGGTTAAACAGCTGCGCTGAGAAAATCAGGCTGCAGCTGTAACATAGTGCTGATGCAGCTTATAGACCTTCAGATACCAGCTTAAAGCGGCTACACTTAAAAAAGATGTTTTTTCAAGGGTTCTTTAATAAACGGACTGGTTCTGTGTAGAGTCATGAGTTCTACGTAGAACCATTTGAATGCTTAAATGGTTCTTTGCATGGTGAAGTGGCTCTTCAGATTGATGGAGAAGGTGTTGTATAGGGTTCTATATATCACTAAAAAGTGTTCTATGTCAAGCTTGTAACAATAGCAGAACCCTTTTGGTGTTATATAGAACCATATACAACACATTGTCTATCTATCTGAAGAACCATTTTTAAGTGTGTTGATGGGGCTGTTCTCTTCTGCCTGTCTGTGATTTTGGGGTTATCATTTGAAGACACATCTAGGTCTTGTGCAGACTTATATAGGGTTTATGTAAACGTCAGAGACCACCCTTCATTTATTTAAATTCCACTCAAAACAGCCGTTAAGTGAGAGTTATTCATTTTTTCAGGAGATATTTCTAAGATTAGATATAAAATAATTCACTTGCATAAGGAAGAGAAAAGTCAAAGGAAAGTAAGGGAAAAAATGGGAGTTTCAAAATCCGGAGTTGGTAAAGTATTAAGAGATACAAAGAAAACAGGACTCTTAATGACCGTGTAAGACCTGGTAGACCACCACAACGGTCACCATCAGATTAACAGTACTTTTAACACATTCATCTTTGAGAGAGAGGAGAAAATCAAGCTCCACTATTGATTCAGATCTGAAAAAATCCACAGGTGTTTCTGTCCATCCTTCCACTGTGAGAAGACAACTCAACACTATAGTCTGAAAGGATGTGTAGCTGTCAAGAAGCTGTTATGGGGAAAAAGAAATAGACAAAAAATAAAAGAAAATTCACAAATGAAAGAAGCTGCTGATGTTCTCAGAACAATGAACTGACCACCCCAGAGTTCAGACCTCAGCATCACTGAATGTGTTTGGGATCACTTTGATAGCAAAAAGTGACAATGCAACCAACTCCTAAGACTGAACTTTGAAGTTGTGGAAAAAATATCCCTGCAGACTGAAAAAAACTGAAAGCAAGTCTTTTGAAAAGAATGAAAGCTGTAATAAAGGCAAAAGATGGACTCACTGAGCACTGAAACGTTAAATGTTTTATTTAGTTGTTGAGGCTTTTGTTAAATTGATGTTTTCTGTTTTTTCTCACAGTGAAAATGAATAATAGCTGAACTGAAATTAAGTAATTGAAAGTCTGCTGTCTGACATTTGCCCAATACTGTATTTCATAGGAACTGCATCTATTTTCCCTCAGAAAAACTCTAGAAAAAATCTCCCACAAGTGGTTAACATATAGAGTTTTGGGGTTTTTTTGAAAGGTTTTTTTTTGAACTTGTAGAGTTATTTTCACTGTATTTGGAGTCAGTGTAAAATCTTGCATCTAGGCCTGTGGTAAAGCATAATGTATGCATGTGCACTGAGTCAAATGAGCTTATCATTCAGTGGTTGTTTGCTCAGAACTTCATTGTGTAAAGTAAAATCAGGGTTTTGTCAGAGTCAGCAGTCCTAGTTAAAATTGAGTGACTGGCTCTATTTAACTTTTTGTCGACAAATCCTATTAATAGTTTTGCAGACTTTTGTAAAGCTTTATGAGGATTAATGTATTAATAAGTAAATGAATTATTTTGTTCATTAATTAATTTGTCCACCCGTTTACTCTTCATTAGTGATTTAATTGGTCCTCAGTGGCTGGTTTGTTAACCTCCAGTACTGCCTCATCCACAGGTCTGGTTCCAGAATCGCAGAGCCAAGTGGAGAAAGAGGGAAAAGTGTTGGGGGCGCAGCAGTGTGATGGCTGAATACGGCCTGTATGGGGCCATGGTACGCCACTCCATTCCTCTTCCAGAGTCCATCCTGAAGTCTGCCAAGGATGGAATTATGGACTCTTGTGCCCCCTGGCTACTAGGTATGTAACAGGAACCACCTTAAAGAAATGAATGAAATTATGAAAGGTTAATCATGCTGTTTTGTTCAAATTTAGACATTTCTGCTTCTAAAATGGAAAACAAAAGTGAGATTTAGTCCATTTAGACCATTTGTCTGTTGCTATGGTAGTTTGTGTGTATGTCACTAAGGATTCACAAATTATTTGGCTATATGTGTAATTATGGATGCTAAGAGAGGAAGAAGAATGTCATGTAAATATTACTAAACATTATTATAAAAGGGTAATTTTTACAGTTCACTCAAGCCAGTTCAACACTTCCCTGCTGTCTTTCTCTATAACAGACTGTAAACAGACTCACACTGAGAGGGTTATTTAATGAATGAACAGATACATATCTGCCTTGGGCCTCTATGCACAAGGAGGATCAGCTTTTATATTGATCTAGTCCAGGAGTGCAGAATCTGCCTTTATTTGTTTATAAATTCAAAACTGAATCTTAATCAGACTGAACCATGTTGGTACTAAAAAGCCCATTCCAGCATAATATTAACTGAACACCAACAAACTCTTGATTTAGTTCAGCACAGATCTGTTCATTTATTGCAAGCTTGTTTAATGAACTCATTAATTTGATGTTCTCTCTTCTTGCTAAATGTTATATTTGCTGTGTAATCGTTTTCCCCATAAGTACAACAATTTACTGGCTTCAAATTGGCAGTTCCACATTGGCTTAAGCTTTCACACCATGTGAATACTTTTTCTGTATTCACTAATACTGAAAGAAAGCCAAAGAATATAAGTGAAGGGTAGATGTGGGACTAGTATTTTGCTCTGCTAATTCAAAGTATTATGAAATCATCTGTACTTTTTTCCTCTCTGCATGCAGTTTGATGGCGCCGTCAGAGTTGCTGAATACACAAAGTTAAAAAATAGCTTGCAGCCTTATAGCTCTACAAATGACCGCATACTTACAGAATACATATTAAGCCCAGTATTTTATTTCTTCTTAAACGAGAAGGTTTAGTTGCCAGAATGTTTAAGGCCGAAGCACATTGACCAAATGTTCTGCAACGACAACAACAGTCACAAGTTTCCTGTTGTCTTTATAATGCACATGGAAAAAGAACCAGATGAGCCAGGGTGAATGGGGAGGAACATTCTAGATTATCCCAACCAGTGGTGTAACTTGGATCTTATGGGCCCAGTGCAAAAAAAATTTTTTGTTAACTTGCTGTTGTTGTGTCTCAAACAAGTTGATTTCCATCCACCAACTAGCATCTAACACTGACCTGAAGATAGTCATTAGAAATAAGACATTTTTCAAAATTTTTTTTGTGATTCGGTCATTGAGATATAAAGAAAGTCATCCAGAGTGGTTTGATGTGAAGTGATTAATCGTAGAGAAACTTACCAACTCTTGACAGTGGCGTTGACAGGAATCAGGGATTCCTACAGTAATGTTTACAACACAAATATAGACATTTTGTTTACTATCCAAAATGTTAGTATTAAAAAGTTAATAGTAACATTTTGGATAGTAAAAATTTTCAATTATAAATAATGAATATATCATCTTGGAGATTAAGGATCTGATTGACAACGGTTGCCATGGATGAGCTGCATTACAAATAATAGGTAGAAAAAGAGATGTCATGGCTGTCTGTGTAGTGTTGATGGAAGCTAAATGGTGAGAGATGCACAATTGTGCCAGTTTTTTATGAGAGGCCCAATAAAGATTTTAGGAAGCACAGTCATTGCAGGGCCTCCGGCACCATGGGCCCAGTTGCGCTTGCCCCCTGTGCACTCCTTGTATTTATTAGGGATGCATTGATATAGGAGTTTGGGACGTTACAATACAATGAATAAAATGTAGGCATTTTAGAACAGCAACCCAGTATTGCTTAAACATTCTGCTCTTCTGGAGCCTTAAAAAATACATCATCACATATAGGTTTGTTAAGTATCAGTCAGGTCTGAATGAGGTTTAAAAGCAAATATCTTCCAATCCTGATACTGATATTATCTTGCATCTCTAAGATTCATAAACCACCACCATGTTGTGGGGGTCAGCAAAGTGCTGGAAATAAGTGTCATAGCTAAAAATCTCTTGCATGGACTGTGGAGCATGGTTTTGATTGGTTCAGCAGTGTCAGCGCACGATGGGTTTCTGGCTGATCATCACAGTCGCCTCTTTGCTTTATTTTAATTCGAACGTCACTATAGAAATTCACTCAGTATAGCCTACATCGCTATCAAGACAACATAGCATGTTTAAACTGCTCCCAGAATCTTCTGACAGTTTGTCACTGCTTGCAGAGAACAGCCTGATTGGTTAAATTCATCAGCCAAATTAAACCAACCAATTAGAAGGAAGCAGATGTTTTTTTATAGTTATGGTTCTTTGGCCCATTTTCACCCTTTGATAAGACTTAATATTCAGTAACTACTATAAATGATTTGTTTACTACTATGAAACTATATGAACGTTTTTGAATGTAGTTTTCAGAGCAAACAATTAGAGTATGGACCCAAATACAGGCCACTTAAATTTAAGGGGTTAAAAAAGAGGTCAGGCCATGGCCTGGGTGGTCCTCCTCCCCATTCTGTGGTCCATGGTCTCTTGCCATTTTGTCTCCGATCTCCAGGCGCCTCTCTAAATCCGAATCCCCCAACGCTCTTTTCAGGGATGCACAAAAAGTCACTGGAGGCGGCATCGGGGGCATTGAGTGGGAAGCCGGAGGTCTCGCAGCAGCCGACCAATCCCAAGGCCGACGAGGCTGAGGCAGAGGACAGGAGGAGCGAGTCGCCCATGTCCAAAGAAGAACTGAGAGAGAACAGCATCGCTGCTCTCAGGGCCAAAGCGCAGGAGCACAGTGCCAAAGTGCTGGGGACAGCGTCCTGCGAGAGACTCGAACGCAAAACGGAATCCACGGCAACAGAGAGAGAGGAGAAGTCCAGCGAACGGTCAGACTCCCGACAAGAGGAAAAGAGCTCTTAGATATGCACTTAAAACCCTTATTCAAGCCTCATAGTGTCCCACTGTACCTTTCCTTTGAACAAACCCAGGTCACTTTCTCTTCTGTATTTTCACATACTCTGTTGACAAGCAGGAGTTTGGGTCCTCATAGTATACCTCACCAGTGATATTCTTCTGTCCTCACTTAGATCAGAGGTATTAATGAAATTGCAGCTATTTTGACTGATTGACAGTGGCATATATCCCTAAAATGCTGGGGACAAAGCATGGTACCCTACTGTTTATTTTCATTAATGGTATACTTGCCACTAATTGTTATAGAGTACTGTATGCTAATACGGGAACTAAATTAAGCAACATCAAGGCATTTTTGGTGGTATTAAAAGTGGGTTCCCAAGGACTTAGACTATAAAATAATGACATTTAGGACATATCCTCCAGTCTTAGAACAAACAGAATGTTCTTTGTTGAAACTTTAAAAGGACCTTTTTAAAGAGGAATTCCATCAATGTTTCAAACTTTCTTTGTGATTCGGTCATTGAGATATAAAGAAAGTCATCCAGAGTGGTTTGATATAAAGTGGTTAATTGTAGAGAAACTTATCAACTCTTGACAGTGGCGTTGACAGGAATCAGGGGTTCCTATTGTAATGTGTACAATACAAATATAGACATTTTGTTTACTATCCAAAATGTTGCTAATAGTAAAATAGCAGTAAATCTGAAAAAATAAGTTTTCTTTGGGAGCTATTTTGCCTTACAATGCCCTGCTTGTACTTCCATAATAAATGAAATTAAAAAACATTGTAGAGTCTAGGTGAAGAACAACCAGAGGGAAACATTGTGCATGCAGGCACATGCTCTTTTATTGAACAGGCAGCAAAGGTTAACCGCCGCTCAGCACTATTCAAGCAGCTGGGATAGCAGGTAGGTCACTTCTAGCCATACACTTCCTCTTTACGATAGGCACCAACACTGACACCAACTACCCCAAAGCCCAGCACAGAACAGCAAAAAATGTCCACAGTAACATTAACTGGAGCCAGGAGCATGGCACCTCCCGAGAGCCTCTCCACATGGCAACTTTCAATGGCCATGCCCCCTCCCCTCGCTCCCACAGCAGTGCAGCCAGTGGCAAATGCCACAATATGCCAAAACCTTATATTAAAACTATCATAAATAATGATAATGTCTTATTAGACCGTTCAGCACTATGGATGTCTGGTTCCTATCACCACCACTGAACAATTCTGACTCTGTAAGTTTCTTCACATCAAACCACTCTGAATGATTCTGATAATATCTAAACCATTTAATTTTGCAGAAATTTGGAAAAATCTGTGGAATTCCCTCTTAAAGTAGTCTAAAAGGATAAGGTGTTTGGTGCAGTTTGTACAGTATCCTTCTTTTAAAAGCACTCAGTTGTTGGTCGTATTAGAATGTAATGCTGTATATACTGTAAATAAAGATAGCTTGCTACAGTATTGTTTGAACTATACTTTAATGTACTGTAGTCTTATGTGGGTTTTTTGGTGCGTAAAATGTAACGTTGTTCAGATTGATTATTAAAAAAAATACTGAAATATTGAGCTATGCGTTAAATTTTTTCAAAGAATCGTGATGAAATATGAAATCTCTCTCTTGCTTGGAAGAGTTAAAGCCCCAGTCCGGAGTTTTGAAGACCTAAATTTTGTGTATATCAGATATATAATGTATTTCTAACATTATGTATTACAACGAGAATGCTTCCCAGGTAGCAAAATTTGTCTGGCCCACTTGTGTGCCTCATCCTTTGGTTTGTTCCGGTCCAGTATACGGCTAGGTCTTCAGCCCAGATCTGGCCCACACACTGTAAAATGAGTAGAATTAAGGGATGTGGCCCAAGCTGGCCCAACTACATTGTTGGTCCACAGCATTCAGGCCAGAATTAGCCCACAAATATATACACAAGGCAAAATCGTTTGAAGCTGTCCAGCATCTGCCAACTAACAATCACACAGGAACAACAGAACTGGCCCAAAGCTGTTTGCTGTCGGTTAGATCAGAGTAAACAAAGGAAAATGGCAAAAGAGGTGAAAAACACTATATTTAACATCCTGAACAGTCCAAAAAACATCTCAAGTGAGCTTTTACATCTCCTGTATTAATGAATCTCAGTTTTATTCAGCTGTGTAGCTAGCATAAAGAATATCAGCTGTAGTGGCATAACAAAACTCTGCTTTAAAGCAGCCGTGTTCTAGTCGTGTCATTTTCAGTGGCTCCATCAGGCCTGAAATGCACCCTTGCTCTGTATGTAGGCTGAGCGACAGAGCAAAGCTCTGTGACAGCGGCTGTAATCCGCCACAGTTGAGAGGCCTCAATCTGGCCAGATTAAACAGCAGGGCCAGTGCATGACAGACATATGGGAGAGAGTATGAAAGCAGCTCCAGATAAGGTGCTCTCAGCCTAAATTACAGACGCCACTGCTCATGCTCGCTCCCTGTCTTATGGCGATGCATTAATATGCTTTTATCCTTCATGCGTCGCTAGTAGCTCATCCTAGCTGTTTCTCTTTGCAAAATTTCATAAACTATGAGTGCATGTTCTCGCACATTTACATGTTTTTTTGGAGATTCCTTGGGTTCCTCCTGTCTAGCTATCCGCCAGGTAGCAGAGGGAATCTCTAGGCACCTTGTAATTCGATTTGGATTCAGGGAGACAAGATGTGATTAAAACGTTATTCCTTATATATCTTAATGTTTGGATTTCCATAGCCCACATCCTGTTTTTTTTGTATATATAAATCTTCGCAAGCAGTGTTAGCTTACTTTATTATTTAGCACAGTGAGTTATGTATGAATATGCTACCATTTTGGTTTAGGTGTAGCAGCAGCATTCAAATACAGTGTGAATGCACTTTCCCAACTCACAATATTTATCTTGTCTGATGATGATTTATGCGTCGATGCAGAATCATTCAAAAGAGAATCGCAATGCAATTATTTTTTCCCAGATCTTACTCTTTCAAGCCAGATAGTTTGCTAGTTGTTTATTTACCCAGCTAGACTATCAGTAAACTGATTGCCGTCAAAGTAAATAATGGTGATGTTTCTTACCTGTAATAGTAGGGCTGGTTTTAGCTAAAAGTTCAATGTGTAATGTATCATGAAGTCATCAGTGGAGTATAAATAGTCTGCGTCATAGTGTTAGCCGACTGCTCTGCATGGTCATTACCTCTGAACTGAGTCATGATGTGTGTATCTATGTATATATATAATTTTGAACACCCTTGGTGAAAGTATGTTTTATTGATTTTCTTCTACAGTTCTAAAGAGAACACACTTAAATATGGTGTTTGCTGCAAATTTTAGTTCAAATTTCTGTGTATTTACTGAAAATTAACATACTGGAAAACAACAAAATATAAAATGTGCCATAACTTTTGCAAAGGCCACATTTTGTTTTAATTTTTCTCCAATATGATAAATTCAGCAAATGAACAGTGATGATGTGTTGAATTTTTTTTTTACATAATTTGAAAATGGCAGTTGCCATTTACTATATAACAATATATGCACAATAAAAGTAATTTATTTTTTTCCTGTAAAGTTCAAAATCATTTTGGAGATACAAGGTTTTGTTCCGACAACAGTGATATACAGTGATATTGTATTGCATTGTAAATATGTAACTCTCCTTTTCCAGTGAAAAAAAAAATAGAATTTGGACATGTTGATTAGAGTTGTCTGTTACGAATTCCACAAGGATTTCTCCAAAACACCCCCCTCAACACAAACACACACACACACACACACACACACACACACACACACACACACAATCTGTGTTGCTGATCCTATCCTGCCCTTATTATCGAGGCCTGTCAACAGATTATTGATACACACTGTTAATTCAGTCCTAATTTAATTTAATTTACTTAGTGTCAGTGTAATTAATTTGTTGACATCTGGAGTGATTAAGCCTGGCTTATAAAGTAACAAAATATGTTATATCTCTATCCCATTTCCCAACAGATCCCTATTTAGAACAATAATGGTCACAAATGTGTTTGTTGGACATTGGGTTTTGTAGATAAAAACAAGCTTTTTTAAATTTCTGGCACAATAAAACTGCGCCATACCTCTTAAAAATAATGTAAAAAATCGTGTTATTCTTTAAATCATCTGCTGTGATGTCTATGGCATCTGCTGTGCTGTGTATAGCTCTATGAGAGAGCTTAGTTGAGCTGTTTGTGAGGATCTGCAGTTCTTCTGTTTGGGATCACAGGTTTCCTCAGGTTTTAGGCAGTCATTCTAAGAGGAGTTCAGCATTAAAGTGACTTGAGCTAATCCTGCCAAGTCACTAATGCTGGACATCACAGGCATCAGCCATGGCAAACTCGACTTATCTATGATAAGATTATTAGGCCTGAGACGGAGATAAGATCATTCATGTAAGTGCAAAATCTGCATTATCATTTGAGCCACAGTGGGATGAAGTGATTAGATATTTTGATGCTTGAGTTGCTTGGAATGTGGCCAATTCGAAAATAACAGCACATGTCAAACGATGTTGACAATAAACAAACCTCAGTTTTAAAAGGTTTGGTGAGATTCAAATAAAAACAGAAAGCAGTGATTAGTAAATGATAATTGACCTGTATTCAATTGAAAACAGTATATTTATTTATATTGATAACAGTAATATTTGTTGTCTTACCTTACACTAAAGATGGTTCATCAGAGGTTCTTTAGTAAAGATAATGGTTCTATATTGAACCATGAACACTCAAAGAATCATTTGCAACTTAAATGGTTCTTTGAATGGTGAAATGTTTCTTCAGATTGATGGAGAATGTGTTGTATATGGTTCTATATAGCATTAAAAAGGGTTCTGCTATTGTTACGATGTCAAGCTTGTAACAGTAGAAGAACCCTTTTTGGTGCTGTATAGAACCATTTTCAAAAAGATTGTATATTGAACAATATACAACACATTCTTTATCAAGAATAATTTTACCATGCACAGAATCTTTTAAGCATGCAAATGGTTCTTTGAGTGTTCATGGCTCTATATAGAACCATTGTCTTTACAGAAGCTTTTTTAAGAGTGTACAAACTTTTTTTTTTGTAAATATACTAAAATTAAAAATTCATGTCTGCACCACACACCAAAAGATGGAACAGAGA